GGTGCTTACATCACAAAGGCTGTTGGCTCACCTCTTTCCTGGGTCCTGGGTGGCTTGAGTGACTCCAAACACCTTTGCAATAGAAGCTGCTCAGCGAGTGAGAGAAGGAAAGCTTATTTAAGTCAACTTCGAACAATGGAAGTCATCAACCTGAAACTACGCAGCAGAGGTAAGATCCCCATGATGTTCTCCATGCCTAATCTCTAGTCCTACACCCATTCTTGAAAGCACAAGGAATAAGTGGATTAGCTAAAATCAGCTTTTCTAGAGCCAGACTTTCAGTTGTGCAAACGGTGTTACTTGGTAGCCTGGACTGTAGCTTGGGTGATTGATACCAGGTCAAGATCAAGTCTTTAGCCTCTGAACACTGGCATGCCTCTGATCATCAGAGACTATGTTAGATGTTCTGGGAAAGGCCTCCTTCCATCCTGTTCCCCTTGTAGCCAAGGGGGTGGTGTGAGGTGTTTGTATAAATTACCTAAGCTTAAACACTAGGGCAGGCTATATAAGTGCTGGTTTGCATTCTAATTATAACACATTGGAGCAGGCTCAATGAATTGAGTCTGCTCCACATTCTAATTAAAACACTCCAGCATTGCCTCACTGTCATGTGTATTAAGCCCTCCCCCCCACACACACATTTTAAAATGGTTGTGGGGGTGTTTTAACTAAAACTCATTGAATAAACTTTAGTTAAACTGCTCCCATGGCCATTTAAAAATGTGGGGTGCTTAATACAAGTGACAGTGGGCTGTTCTAATTAAAGCAGCTCTTTGGGGAGCCATTCTAATTTAAACAGCCCCTCCCCACCACCAGAATGTGTATAGGCAGCCTAGCTTTAAAAAACTTTGGCCCTAAACAATCATTTGGGTTTGTGATCCCAATTCTCCAACTAATTGTCAAGGAGAAAAGAATTGTTATTGTTTGCACAACTTTCCCTTATTTACCTGGAAACAAATGTCACAGTAATCTCCGCTTCTAACTGGCTGGGCCATTTTGCAAGAAAATCTAACATAACAGAGCAGGGGAAAGGGGAAGATGCATCTTCTTTTCCCTGACCAGGCCCACTCTTGCCCCTTCGGCTGGTATAACTGTGGCCACTGTGCACAGGACTGATGATTACAGATTTTTACATTCTGAGGCTGGCCGACACCAGAGCATCATCTCCATCATACTGACAAAGAAAGGCTTTCTGGTAGAACTAAGTTGCACTAAGAAAAGTGCCTCTTTGGCAGTACCAGCTGTCTCAGCCCAGGAGGGTGGCCTGGAGAGCATTCCTGTTGTTGCTCTGGTAGGAAGCCTTTCCTTTCTAGCCAGGACACAGGGTTTGCCTCCAGCAGAGCTGCTAGTGGGTGGTGATGAACGAGACCAACGTGATTTCTTACATGGAAATTAACAGAATCCTTTCCCTTCATTTCAGGTTTTTCCACTAGTGATGCCTCCGCAGGGAGAAGCCTGATGAACCAGGCTCAGGGTAATCTTGGCCCAGGGTTTGGCTAGGCAGACATGGAGCTGGCCATTACTGTGAGCCTTCTGCTGAAGAGACTGCAACAGGAGGAGGTAGGGCAATAGCTCTGTATTATGCGGCTGCTCTAAGCATTTTCTTCCAAGGCTGTGCAGGGTGGGACCCCAGCTAAAAATGGTCCTTGCGCATCTTCTGTGTCTTTTTCATTCCTCCTCTCCTATTGAAGGTCACAATACAACATGCCCTCATTATATTGTGATGTCACAATGATATCAGGGTACGCTCACATGGGCATAATCTCCCGCTCCCCATTGGAGGATAGATATGATATATGCCATGTTTAAATGAGCCCTTACCCTATGGATAATGCTATGAGCTTCTTTAGTGGCTATGTTGACAGTCCACCTGGCAGGTCAGCCTGGTGGGTTTGTGGGGGGAGGTGCTCTGCTTTCCACATCCATTTCCCCTGTGTCATGTTTCTG